TCGCCGAGTAGGGTCGCAGTTGTGGTCGCGGGTTCGCGGCTGGACTCGACGAGTCCAGGTATGGACTCGGCGAGTCGACGCTGTTCAGCGGAAAACCCTAGCCGTTCAGTTTGGGACGTATATAAGGGATCTTATGCCGTCATTGCTCGTCTTTTGGCCGATTGAAGAGAACCCTAAACGACTGAGGCGTCTAGAGCAAGCTTGAAGGCCATGGGTGACCTTGAAGGAATTGTTGTGCAAGGAGGAGAAGGGTTTTAGTTAAAGGAACTGCAGGGAGTTCGAGTTCTGAAGTTTGGGGACATGGAAGGTACATCATTCAGGTAATAACTCGGATTACATTCTCCTGTGATTGATGTGTATATAGATTTAGGGTTTATGGAACCCATTTGGAGTCTAGATGGTTTGTTGTGTTGTTATTCAACGTTTATAACCTTGTATTAGGACCCTTAGAGGTCCAGAAGGATCCATGTTTGTATATTCGGGAAAATATGTACCTCAGGAAGCAGTTCGATCGACTGCATGGCGTGGACTCGCCGAGTCGGATGATCAGACTCGGCGAGTAGCTTGAAGATTCACTGGGACTCGCCGAGTTTGTTCTTCAGACTCGGCGAGTGGAGTCGGGGTGGCCCCGCGATTCTTCCAGGAGTAACTCGTCGAGTCAAAGGGGATACTCGACGAGTAGAAGGGGAATTTTAGAGGATTGAAGAACGACCAGACTCGCCGAGTCGCCAGGGAACTCGCCGAGTCCAGTCGAGCTGACAATGGACTGTTGACCAGAGATGACCGGTGTGATTTCTTAGGGTCAGTTAACGTGGAAGATAGAAGTGTTAATAAGAGATATATGATGTTACAGGGAGCTTGTAGCTCGGAGGATCAAGTGCAAGGGACTTCAGGAGTTGCTATCTCCCAGCGTCCGCGAGGTGAGTCTTCTCACTATACTGTACCCGGAAGGGTTTGATTGTGTGACCGGAAGGTCGAACATGTTATGCGTTATGTATTCATACTGTAAATGGAAGTTAGTAGCTACGCGTGATATGCATGTTATATGGGCCGGAAGGCAAAGTATTATGTGACAGAAAGGTCAGGTATGATATGTGATATATGTGCTTTATGTGTTAGAGTATGTTTCGGGCCGGAAGGCAGGTTGATATATGATATATGTGCTTTATGTGTTAGAGTAATTGTATTATGTGTTATATATGTGTATGGGCCGGAAGGCAATTATTTTATGGGCCGGAAGGCAATTATCTTATGGGCCGGAAGGCAATTATCTTATGGGCCGGAAGGCAAATATCTTATGGGCCGGAAGGCGATTATCTCATGGGCCGGAAGGCATTGTGCAGTGGACCGGAAGGTCAGGGCCTGGAAAGGCGTACGTGCGTAAGGTGTATATTGGGGAACTCACTAAGCTTCGTGCTTACGTTGTTTATGTTATGTTGTTTCAGGTTCTTACAGTAACGCGGGATGGCAACGGTTCGATTGTACACACCGAAGAAAGAGTTGTGTTTTGGAGGATCCTGGTTTTCTATTTAACTGAAAATGAAACTACGTTTTGTAATTCTATTATGAACGAGGTTTTAAACAAGTGTATTAATATTAAATGGACTATTTAAATAAAAAAAAAATTTGTCTTGAAAATCACGCTGTTACACCACATCACGCAGATTAACACATCACGCAATCCCACCTTTTCACACAAACACTCACATGCAATCAGAAACGCAGTCATGATGAGAGATCAAAGCACCACAATTCCAAGTGTCTGCTATTGTATCCATTATCCATGTTTTGTAATCTGCATTCAAAATATTTACCACTATAAAACCTAAAATATTATAAAAGCATGATTACAAATCAAATGAATATTGCATACTTTTATGTCATTAACATTATGTCTATCTTATGCAAAATAGGCCAAAAACGATTTCCAATAAAAGCACCAATATTAAACCCCATTGACTCATAAACAAAAAATTTTGGGTCAATGACTTGAGTTAGCTCATGGGTAACCATATATGTACCCATATGCATATCACCATGTACTATAGCCTGTGCTTTTTCACATAACCTGCACAAATTCAATATATGTAAAATCTAATCCAACAATTAGGATGGTAAAAAGGTAACAGGGTCTGGACATAGTTTTTAATGCTTTTTCCTTTGTAAAATCATATAATCATGAAGTTATTTTAAATGATTAAACTTTTTATGGAAACCTACAAATCCCTGATATTTTTCACATCCAATCCTTGTACAAATAGATACACAAAAACCCACAGATTTTTCAGAAACTGTAAGTAATTTTGAAAAACCTACATCAGAAAGAGAGAATTCAAAAATCAAGGTTTTTCTAATCCAAAAGAATAAGAAAACAATAGATCGAGGATTGAAAGGTACACATCCACAAACAAACAAATTAGAGGATCACTATAACATCAAGTCAATTCATGACCGAATGAAAATCCATGAATTCAAACACTATAAAAATAAAGAAAATGTGGGAAGAATGGTGTTTTCATACCTTTAATCGAGTCTAGATGTAGAATGAAACCTGCAAAATCGAAAATCAAAAAGGATAACTACAAAGGACAAAACCAGATCAAAAAATAAGAGTGTACCTATGTAATCAATCATCTTACTGTATATGCATAGACCAATTTTCGATTCTTTACCACCAGATTGTGATTGTGATGGTTGATTGCAAAACGGGTGATGGTTGTCTCTGATTAATGAGTTTGAAGATTGGGGTGGCTAGGGTTTCTCATTGCACCGATGGTCGAGGGGTTTATATGAACACTGAACAGATAGCCGAGATACGGGGAAAAGTCGAGATATGGGGAAAAGCCCATTCAAAACAAAATCCCCTTAATAATATGGACGATGAATCAATGCGTTGAATTTTTCAATGGTTGATTCGACGACATTTGCTTATTTTTTAGCATAAATTGATTGTAATATTGAAGTAAGACTTGTACCTCTTAAAATTTAGCATTTAAGGCTAAATCCTTATTAAGGTGTATATATATATATATATATATATATATATATATATATATATATATATATATATATATAGGTCCAGGTTCATTTGAGACCATTCTAATTTTGTGAGACAGTGAGACCAAATCTAAAAATAATTTTAAAATGCAAAATAAATGGAAAAATCCAAAAATTCTTTTTTTTATTAACTAAAAATAAAAAAAATCCCGTTTTTTTTTAAAAATACGTGAAATATTCTAATAGAATATTACACTGACATATTCTAAAAAATAATTTTAAAATGCAAAATAAATGGAAAAATCTAAAAATTCTTTTTTTAAATATTATTTTCGAAACTTGAATTATCTAAAAAAAAAAAAAATCCCGTTTTTTTTTTTTTTTTTTTTTTTTTTTTAAATACGTGAAATATTCTAATAGAATATTACAATGTACATATTCTAAAAAATATTTTTAAAATGCAAAATAAATGGAAAAAATCCAAAAAATCTTTTTTTAAATATTATTTTCGGAACTTGAATTAACTAAAAAAAATTTAAAAAAATAAAAAAATGCGTCTCACGGTTTCACAAAATATAAGTGGTCTCGAATGAACCTAACTGGTCTCAAATGAACCTAACCCTCTCTCTTTCTCTCTCTCTCTCTCTCTCTCTATATATATATATATATATATATATATATATATATATATATATATATATATATATATTCAGTTTAATTAAAGATCCAAAAAATAATTATTCAGGAATTTTGGATCACGGTCTTTTAAAACCGATATATATATATATATATATATATATATATATATATATATATATATATATATATATTCAGTTTAATTAAGGATCCAAAAAATAATTATTCAGGAATTTTGGATCACGATCTTTTAAAACCGAAAACAACCCTTAAGATTTACATAGTATAAAAGGTTAACCGATTTGAATCCACTTATCCCATAGGATGTACCAATATATTAAAACCAATACACATACCAAGGCTGTAAACGAACCAAACGAACACGAACAAGGTCTTGTTCATGTTCGTTCGTTTAAGTTAGCCGAACAACAAACGAACACGAACGGATAACCGAACGAGATTTTCTTGTTCATGTTCGTTCGTTTAACAAATTACTTTGTTCATTATCGTTCATTTATGTTCGTGAACATGCTAAACGAACATAAACGAACAAACATAAACGAGCAAAAATAAAAAAAACACAATTGAACATATATGAACATAAACGAACATATAATATAACAATATAGTAAAAAATAATTGAATATCGATGAATATAAATAAACTTAAACGAGCGAAGATAAACGAACGTAAACAAAAATTATAAACGAATCTTCACGAACATAAATGAACGAACGAGACCATTTTTCATATTCGTTTATTTAACTAAACGAACGATAACTTTTATTCATGTTCGTTCATTTATTAAATAAACGAACATAAAGGAACTTCCCGCCGAACAGTTCTCAAACGGTTCGCCGAACGTTCAGTTCGTTTACACCCTACACATACCCTTGTGCGACAAGACAGGTTCCGTGTAAAATATCATGATTCATCAAAGTGTTTTCTTTTTTGCTGTTATCGATTGAAATCTCAAGGTTAGTATTTATCTCTAGCGTATTCTTTCTTGTATTGTAGTTGTCTGTTATTTTAAAGATTGCTGCTGTACGTAGTATTTGGTAATTCTGTGCTTTTCGTTGATCAGTGTTCAAAAAGCAGCTTATCTAGGTTTTGCTTGATTATAATGCATAAAACAGCAAAGAGAATGAGTTGTTTTTAATTTGTGTTTCCAATTTTTTTAACTGCAAACCTAGTTTCAAATTTTGTGATTTTGGTGATCGTTTTATTTAAACCTAATAAAAAACAATACTGTATCTGTATCTATTTTCTTCCATTTGTTAATGAATTTCGTTCCATATATCTATTTTCTCGTTATAATATGAACTGGAAAATTTTATGAATCCTGATCCACAGGAAAAGTTCAACCAATGGCCTACAGGCGTAGTCTCACAACAAGTGCGAAACTTCTAACCCGACAACGATTTGCTCCTTCATTTTCTTGTACTCATCACGAAGACGATTGTAACAATTCTCATTCAGATGAGAAAGTAAAGAGTTTTCTTCAAAGTCGATCATATGGTAACAACACCAACAGTTGGCTAGGGTTTGGCAGTGGTATGAGTTTTCGAGATCCAAAAGGGTCTCAGTTTCTTCATGTAACAAGCGGATTCTTATTAGCTAGACATATGTCGACTACAAACGTAGATGGAGACGGAGAAGAGAAGATTGAGTGCATGGCTGATAAAACCATGGAAGTCGTGTCTAGTCAAGCCACTGCTGTTAACGAAGTTGCTGTGGCTGCTGCGGATTCTTGGCCATCAGTTGCAGCTTTACAGTATGCCATTGATGGGATTCATATATATATATATATATATATATATATATATATATATATATATATATATATATATATATATAATATATATATATATATATATATATATATATATATATATATATACACGGGACTCAATTGGTAAGGAGATATCCTAAAACTTACATGCCGGTCCAAACGTATATGGGACCCGGGACGAAAAGATAAAAAGGACCCTTAAAAACAAATATAATAAAAATTCAAAAAAAATATTATTTATTTTTCACTATAAACACGTTCAATTAACAATAACAAGCAAGCCATATTATTCATCTTTTGAGCTACTTTGAGTTTGAACCAACTTTAGGCCCTGAAAATCATTTTGGTAATAATTGTTTTATATATATACACTACATAGCCGAGAAATTTTGGGCCCCCTAGAGTCGTGGGCCCTGGGCGATCGCCCGGGTTGCCCACCGTCTGGACCGGCCTGTAAATGACTGTCTGTGTTAAGACTTTCTGTACTCCTCTTTCTCATTCATGTTGCAAGTATAATGAAAGAATAACGTTAATTTGTTTTCTGTCAGGTGGGCAAGCATAGTCATAACAACTCTTGTGATTAGAACCTTGTCAATTCCACTCATGATTAATCAGCTCAAGGCTACCTCAAAGTTAACTGTGAGCTCTATTCTGGCTACATCTGTCCATCTCTTATTTTTGGCTTTCTTTTATCTTTTTTGTTTTGTGGTTGCATGTGATTGAGTTATCTTCTTTATTGTCAATATATAATAGTCTATTCGAAAGTAGTATTGATTTTTTTCACATCTTGGACACAGAGTTTGAGGCCAGAACTGGGGCAGATTAAGCAGGAGATGCAAGATAGGGTAAGGGCATCAGACTTCTTCTTTGATGTTGTATAGTCAAAAAACCACCATGTGCATGAGTCTTGAACTTACTTCCTTCATGTGATCCTAATGTTTGTTTATAGAATTGTTGCCAGTTAGTTTCTTAATAATTATATACTACACATGCATGCTTGAACTTTTAAGAAGATGAAACACCCTACTTATTATCTGTATTAATATTGAAATACCCTTTTCAGGGCATGA